GATGATAGAAAACAAAGAATATATTTTTGTTATGGCTGGTTACCACCAGCTTTTTTCCCCCTTGTGTGTGTGGTTCAAGTGTGCACTGGGAGGAGGCTGAGGCCTGTGAAGCCAAACAATATGCTCCTGCCTTGCACCTCCAATAGGTTTTATTATTTTTTTTAAATTAATGAAAGTATGTAATATTAATAGTTATTATTTACTGGTGCAGATGGTTGACATTTTTCCCTATTTTCCTCACTTTATGGAAGAGTTAAAACATTTCTAAAACCAGAGGACAAAAGGGGTTAATGTTACTTTAAAATTACATTCTATATATATATATAAATATATATAAATATATATTAAAATACCAATTTTTTTTCTCTGGGTGCAAAGATGTTCATTCTTTTAAAAATGTTAAAAGAAAAAAAAAACTCCCTTTCTTCCTCTCAAGTCAACTTTTGTGCTCCAGAAAATTTTCTATTCTGTAATAAGTCTGAGCGTAAAACTTCAAGTATTAAAATAATTTGTACATGTAGAGAGAAAAATGACTTTTTCAAAAATATACAGGGGCAGCTGCCAAATTGATGTATTATATATTGTGGTTTCTGTTTCTTGAAAGAATTTTTTTCGTTATTTTTACATCTAACAAAGGAAAAAAATTAAAAAGAGGGTAAGAAACGATTCCGGTGGGATGATTTTAACATGCAAAATGTCCCTGGGGGTTTCTTCTTTGCTTGCTTTCTTCCTCCTTACCCTACCCCCAACTCTCTCTCTCTCTCTCTCTCTCTTTCTCTCTCACAGACACACACACATACTTTCTATAAAACTTGAAAATAGCAAAAACCCTCAACTGTTGTAAATCATGCAATTAAAGTTGATTACTTATAAATATGAACTTTGGATCACTGTATAGACTGTTAAATTTGATTTCTTATTACCTATTGTTAAATAAACTGTGTGAGACAGACACCCTGACTTTGTTTCACTTCTTGATACCACATCTGTGTTTCGGAGTACACCAGTTTAAGTGCCTGATGCTTAGGATTCAGAGAAAAAAGTGAAAGCATTAGCTTATGGCCTCATTAACATACTGCATATGTATTCACAAGTAGATCTGGGTGAATTTGTCCAAAATTCTGGGAAAAAGTACTACAAGTACCAGCTAGTAGTCAAGGTTGAAATGATAACCTATTTACATCTTTTTTTTTTTTCTTTTGAACGGAGTTTTGCTTTTGTTACCCAGGCTGGAGTGCAATGGCGCAATCTTGGCTCATCGCAACCTCTGCCTCCTGGGTTCAGGCAATTCTCCTGCCTCAGCCACCTGAGTAGCTGGGATTACAGGCACACGCCACCATGCCTAGCTAATTTTTTGTATTTTTAGTAGAGACGGGATTTCACCATGTTGACCAGGATGGTCTCGATCTCTTGACCTCGTGATCCACCCGCCTCGGCCTCCCAAAGTGCTGGGATTACAGGCTTGAGCCACCGCACCCGGCCCCCTATTCACATCTTGATTCAGGACCCCTTAAGGATGACCTCATGGTCTTCTAATCACTTTCGTCTTACATGGGATGAGGAGGACCTAAGACTGTTAATGTCTGCCTAAGTCTCAAGTAATTTCTTGGAAAAAAAAAAACAAGACTTGCCAGCCGTAGTGGCTCACGCCTGTAATCCCAGCACTTTGGGAGGCCAAGGCAAGCAGATCACAAGGTCTGGAGTTCGAGACCAGCCTGGCCAATAAGGTGAAACCCTATCTCTCTTAAAAGTATAAAAATTAGCCAGGTGTGGTGGCAGGCGCCTATAGTCCCAGCTACTCGGGAGACTGAGGCAGGAAAATCACTTGAACAATGGAGGTGGAGATTGCAGTGAGCCAAGATCACACCACTGCACTCCAGCCTGGGTGACAGAACGAGACTCGTCTCGAAACATGAAGCTAGGGAACACATTACTTCTGTTTGCTAACTGCTCATCAAAAAGTCAGTTGGAATCGGGTAGAAAGGAAGGAAATTGTGTGGAAATAAAACCTAGAAAGCTGAGAGAGATTATAACACGAGTCCAGTAATGTGCTAGATACTGAAAGAATAGAGAGGTTGTTTATCCTCCAACTGAACATTGCACTGGCTGTGAACAAACTTAAATGTTAGTACACTAAAAAGTCTACTATTACTGAGCTGCTTTGGTATCAATTCCAGATCTTATTTTTATCACAGATGTACACTAACCATATGTGACTGCTAAAAACATGATTGTCGGATATCTTGAACTGTTACTACTATTTTACAGTCTGAAAACAACCAGCATTTTTTTTTTTTTCTAAGACAAGTCTGGTCACCCAGGCCAGAATGCAATGGCACAATTGTTGACTGTAGCCTCAAACTCATGGGCTGAAGCAATCCTCTCAATTCAGCCTTCCTAGTAGCTTGGACTTACAGGTGTGCACCATTATGCCTGGCTGACTTTTTAAAATTTTTATAGAGATCGTGTCTAAAACTCCTGGGCTCAAGTGATCCTCCCACCTTGGCTTCCCAAAATGCTGGAATTAGAGGCATGAGCCACCTTGCCCAGCCCCTAAACCAGCATCTTCATGTGAGATGAACTTACTCAGCATTAATCAGAGCCAGCCCAGAAAAATGTATCAAGCAACCACCTGCCTCAGCTCAGTGACCCAGCAGATATCCATGGAGCAGCTACATACGTGCCAGGCTGGGCAAAGCACAGGTAAATGGCATGCAGCCCTGCCCTCAAGCTAACCAGCTTAACAGCTATAAAAGAAGACAGCATGACAAAGTACAGAGTACCAAGTGATGTGATGTATGCAAGGAATACAAGAAGAAATCCATGAAAGAAAACCTAGCTGATGGGAATTGGAGATGTTTCTGGAAAGGGCAGCATGGAAGCTGGATGGTGGAGGGGAGACGAATGGAAAAGGAGAGGAGGGGCCGGAAGAGTGCACCAGATCCTGCTAGGGAGCAGCTCCAGGTCTATGTGGCTGAGACCTGATAACAGAAAGTAGTGAACACCTGTTCCAGAAAGACTGCCTTCCTGCTCCCTAAGACTAGGAGCCCAGGAGTCATCTGAATAAACCCTCAAGAGGGAAATGTTTAGAATACAGTAAATTCCCAGTTTTGAAAGCTCTGCCTCTGGCTAAAGATAAGTGGGTTGAAATGTTAGACCAGCACATTGTCACTGCAATGTTGAAAGAAGGAAGTAGGAACAGAAGTCGATTAAATAGAAAGGAGGCTGGGCGCAGTGGCTCATGCCTGTAATTTCAGCACTTTGGGAAGCCAAGGTGGGTGGATTACCTGAGGTCAGGAGTTCGAGACCAGCCTGGCAAACGTGAAACCCCGTCTCCACTAAAAATACAAAATTAGGCGGGGTGCGGTGGCTCATGTCTTTAATCCCAGCACTTTGGGAGGCCCAGGCAGGCAGATCACCTGAGGTCAGGAGTTCAAGACCAGCCTGGCTAACATGGTGAAACCCCGTCTCTACTAAAAATACAAAACTTAGCCAGGTGTTGTGGTGGACATCTGTAATCCCAGCTACTCGAAAAGCTGAGGCAGGAGAATCACTTGAACCCAGGAGGTGGAGTTTGCAGTAAGTCCAGATTGTGCCATTGCACTCCAGCCTGGCCTCCATTCAAAAAAAAAAAAAGCCGGGTGCAGTCGTTCATGCCTGTAATCCCAGCACTTTGGGAGGCCGAGGTGGGTGGATCACCTGACATTGGGAGTTCAAGACTAGCCGACCAACATGGTGAAACCTCTCTCTACTAAAAATGCAAAAAAGCCAGGCACTATAATCCCAGCTACTCGGAAGGCTGAGGCAGGAGAATCGCTTGAATCCAGGAGGTGGTGGAGGCTGCAGTGAGCTGAGATCAGATCATTGCACTCTAGCCTGGGTGACAAGAAAAAAACTGCCTCTCAAAAAAAAAAGGAAGGGCAAAGGGGAAAGCTGCCCTTGCCCAGATGAGAAATAGTGCAATGGTAGAAAATAAGGATTAATCCAGAATCAGCAATACAAGAAGATAATTTCAATGTTGGTGCAGGTTTCCACCTGTAATCCCAGCACTGAGGGAGGAAGGATTGTTTGAGGCCAGGAGTCGGGAGACCAGCCTGGGTAACAGAGTGAGACCCCCACCTCCACCAAAAATAATAAAAAGCAGGCATAGCAGCACACCAGGTACTTGGGAGGCTGAGGCAGGAGGACTGCTTGAGCCCAGGAGGTTGAGGCTGCAGTGAGCCATGATTGTGGCACTGCACCTCTGCTTGGGTGGCTGAGTGAGACCCTCCTGGGCTGTTACTGCCCATCAATCTAGGAAATGGGCCCAGTGGGCTAGCAGTGCTCCAGCTGCCCTCATTCACTGCACTTACTGAATCCTCAATAACAGCCCCACTCGACAAATGAAAAACAAGCTCAGGTGAAATAATGTGCTCAAGACCACACAGCCAGTAAAAGGCTTACCAGGACAATAGCCTGTTGGACTCCAAAGCCATTCCTCTCCATGTCCTTTTATCTCCCTTAGGCAGATAAGCACCAGTGATGGCTGCAAATTAACCAACAGATATGTCATGGGGACCCTGTTTCAAGCAAATTCAAAATACAGACTAAAAACTGAAAAGTGGAGGGGAGGGGGCAACTAAGGAATCCTAAAAAAATCTCCCTGAGGTTCTCATTTTACAACCAAGGAAACATCTCTAGACAGTATTATGTTCATGATGAGTTCATCCTACTTAAAGAGAGAGGACAAAGGCCAGCATGAAAAAGAATAAAATTGGCTGGGTGCAGTGGCTCACACCTGTAATCCCAGCACTTTGAAAGGCTGAGGCAGGCAGATCATGAGGTCAAGAGATTGAGACCATCCTGGTCAACACAGTGAAACCAGTCTCTACTAAAAATACAAACAATATTGGGGCATGGTGGCACGTGCCTGTAATCCCAGCTACTTGGGAGGGTGAGGCAGGAGAATCTCTTGAACCTGGGAGGCAGAGGTTGCTGTGAGCCGAGATCGCGCAATTGCACTCCAGACTGGGTGACAAGAATGAAACTCTATCTAAGAAAAAAAATATATAAGCATAAATTTTTATGACCTTGGAATAGGCAACAGCTTCTTAAATATAACACCTAAAAAATACAAGAAACCAAAGCAAAAAAACAAGTTAGACCTCAAAACTTTTGTGCATCAGAGGACATGACCAAGAAAGTAAAAAGACATATAGAATGGCAGAATATATTTGCAGATCACATATTTCTGTATTTAGACTGTATTTAAAAATCTTGGCCAGGCACAGTGGCTCACATCTGTAATCCCAGCACTTTGGGAAGCCAACGCAGGCTGAGGGCAAGAGAGAGAGACCATCCTGGCCAACATGGTGAAGCCCCATCTCTACTAAAAATA